CACTGGATGTGGCTAAGAATAAATGTAGTATCTTGGAGTTCAACATTAAATATGCAAAGACTTCTCCACAAGTGGCCCTGATGCTTCTCTGCGTGGCCTCGGGGTCTCGCTGTATAATATTCTTCCTGCACGGTACGGGCCAGACCTCGGAGAACCTGCGCTGAACACACTCATAGCTGGTGAATTAACAAAACATTTCTGCTTTCCAGGTCAACAGGTATTTGGTCATCAGACCACTGTGCCCTGTGCTATTTTTTCTTTATGCGTCAGTTCACAGTGGAGAAGAACCATAAAGAGGTCACTTTGCTGTCCCCAAGCTGCCCTGTACTTCATTTATCTTGCTCTACTAGCACTACCGATACTGAAAACAAAGACAGAATTCCAAATTGGGAAGTTCAACTACATCAACAACATTTTGTCAAGTAAGCAAAATCATTCTCCCCTAATCTCCCTTAAGGACTCCACTGCAGAACAATTCTGACGGGAAACAAGCCTGAATATGAAATTCAGCACAGGCTTCATGCTAAAAAAAGGAATGGAACGGAATGGAACAGAAAGGAAAGGAACGGAACAGAAAGGAAAGAAAAGGAAAGAAAGAAGGAAGGAAGGAAAAGAAAAGAAAGAAGAAAGAAGAAAGAAGGAAAGGAAAGGAAAGGAAAGGAAGAAAGAAAGATTGTAATCCCTTACTACTGTGATGGCCATTGGCACACATTTCAAATTCAGAATACTTCCTGTCAGATTCTTTAAGTTAACCAAAAATAGAACAATATGCTTCATCGGTCCACGTAAAAATTAATTCTTTATGATTCACTAATGACAGAGTCTAATGAGAAAAAACTTCAGGGCAGACTCCCAGGGCTGGAGGAGATGTTAAGTAGGCATCTAGTCTGTCATCTGGTATCAAGGCATAACTGTAAGATGCAAATGCATTTAGACCAGTCTGGTGAAACAGGATTACAGTGCCTTCAAAAGCAGCCTCCATGAAAAGGGGACCACTGCAACTCATTCATTCATTCAAATTAATGGCCCATGTTTTCCACTATTACTTCCCTTCATTCACACACACACACACACACACACATGCACGCATGCACACGCTCGCTCTGCTCTTTACCTGGCTCTAGGCTCTAGGATCTAGCTGACATACTGAGAGAAGTTTTTTCATAGCCTTAGAGAAGGTTCTAAGGCCACGACTAGAAGCTGTCCTGGAGAGAAGCCCTGAACAGAGATGAAAATGAGGAAGGCCCAGATGACACCAATAGCATAAACTCTCACAGACTTCTGGGCCAAAAGCAGCCCTTAACCCCTGCACAGTCTGCCACAAAGCCAGGACCATATTCCCCCTTCACATCTTTAAATTCATAGGCAGACCAGAATTCACACTAAAGTAAACAGAAGCTAGGGGCAAGGAAGAATATCAAACATTACTTACTGACTAGGACAATTGCATATAAATTATATGTTTATGCATACCTATATTTATAATGTATAATTATAAATATGCATATATATTAAAAAGACCAATTATATATTAAGAAAAGGAAGCCAGTTAAACTATTATACTTAATGTGTACTGAAAATATAACAGTAAAGATAAAATGCTAGTTGGGGAACAAAGGTAACTAAATTATGGGAGAAGTGAACCAAGCCACTCTCTCCTCGCCCTTTCTTTGGCCCTTGGATGTGGTCATCTGGCTCTTCAACTGAAAGCAGCAGCTTCTTCAAGGGTAATGACAGAAGTGCCTGCCCGAAAAGCAGGGGGGAAGACAGAGTGCTGACCTACTGCATAGAAACATTGCTCACATATCCTACTTCATTCTTAGCTTTTATAAATTAAAGTAGGTATAAAGTTATTGACCACAATTTCAAATACAATTGAAGTGTCTATGAAAATACTTGTTTTCCTATAGTGTACTTGTTTCTGAAATTCTTGAAGGCATACACTCTTAAATACTTCAAAAAATACAAGTAAGTACTTTTCTATGAACCTCTGCAAGGAATTTAAGGTGACTTTGGACAGACAGTGACACCACATCAGGGTCTAAGAAGAGTTACCCACTGCTCTCATTTAGGCCTCTATTTGCATCTAATTCCCAGACTTGAATTTCAGAAGGACTCAAATTCAACTGTAGAAGAGACTCTATTTAACTGATTCTGGAAAGTTGTGGATAAATTCCACTTTTATATATTAAATCATTACCCTCTTTTTTTTTTTTTTTTAAACATGATAATGTATCGTTTTAAAGTCTGCCACATTCTGGATACAAGCTGGTGCAGCCACTCTGGAAAACAGCATGGAGGCTCTTCAAAAAGTTGAAAATACAGCTACACTATGACCCAGCAATTGCACTACTGGGTATTTACCCCATAGATACAAATGTAGAGATCCAAAGGGATATGTGCACCCCAATGTTTATAGCAGCAATGTCCACAATAGCCAAACTGTGGAAAGAGCCAAGATGTCCATCAACAGATGAATGGATAAAGAAGATGTGGTATATATATACAATGGAATATTATGAAGCCATCAAAAGGAATGAGATCTTGCCATTTGCAACGACGTGGATGGAACTGGAGGGTGTTATGCTGAGCGAAATAAGTCAATCAGAGAAAGACATGTATCATATGACCTCACTGATATGAGAATTCTTAATCTCAAGAAACAAACTGAGGGTTGCTGGAGTGGTGGGGGGTGGGAGGGATGGGGTGGCTGGATGATAGACATTGGGGAGGATATGTGCTATGGTGAGCGCTATGAATTGTGCAAGACTGTTGAATCACAGATCTGTACCTCTGAAACAAATAATACATTATATGTTAAAAAATAAATAAATAAAGTCTGCCACATTCTAAAACCTGGGCAGTCCAGACTTAGAGCCATCAGTACTCCCTCAGACAGACTGAAATGTCCCCAGACTTCAGGGTTTCTTCTTACATCCTGAAGAATCCTCTTTCAAAAAACTGAGTACTTTTGTCTGTCTCTTGTAATAGCTGTGAATTTATTAAGTTTGGATTTCTAAGCTAGCAGGTAATCATATAATGAGGTATGCTTACAACAGTAACAACTGAGTAAGGCCTGGTTTAGGGCTGAAGCAAGAAAAACTTTATGCAATAGAGAGCTCTATTTTAAGAAAAAAATCCCTCTTGGGGGAAGAAATGTCAACGCTCTTCGGGCCTCAGGTAATTCACTGTATACCTATGCCCAGTGGTACTAACTTAGGGAAGTTATTGCATAAAAGCTGAATATTTGAAAATGAAACAAATGAAAATGGACTCATCAGAAGAAAAAAGCCATTCCTAGCCAAGTCCTATTAATCGTGAGATAATATGTCAAGAAAGCAGGAGAAGAGAGGCCGGTGATCCAGAAGTCAGTCTAGATTCACTCAGCTACCAACAAGCCGTGTGACCTTGGACAAGTCAACAAGGTATGTCGCCTCTTGGTCTTAATTCCTTTGTTTAAAAAAAAAAAAAAAAAATGAAGGGCCTGACTATACTGCCAGGAGTCGTCATTACAACTCTAAATATCATGTTCCCATCTTTTTAACTATGCCATCAAATGAATAGCAGAATTATGTGGCTGGGCAAAACAGAGGACTAACGATGTATAAAAAGAAAGAGGGGGAGGCTTATTTTTACTACTGGCATAAATCTCAGACCTGCAAGACATGTTTCAGTCTGAAGTTACGATACCTCTTATTTTCACAAATGCAGCATTTAAAGTTCATCTAGAATTCAGTAAGATATCTTAGTGCGAAGAAGAATTTGAGGAGATACTCAGAATTATAACAGCAAGGGCAAAACCTATGGACCTCATTAAGGTCTGAGAGAAATATCATATGTTTGGGAGATTTCTAAAAAAAAATAGGAAAACACACCCCTAAAAGTGTCAGAAATACACAGTCATTCAAGGTAACACCCTAACAAGAAAACAGGCTTCTCTATGTGGCACAGACTGTACCGGCCTGGCACTTTCTGGAGACCAGAAAGAAGACCCTGACGCTGCCTTTCTAATGTTCACGGCACAAGGTAACCCAAAAAGTATATTCATTTAGCGACGGATCACTCAAGTTTCGGGATTTAAAAAAAAAAACAAAACCTCTAATTAGAAGCACAGTACTGCATAAACAAGAAGGAGGGAAGGGGAGCCATAATTTTCAATTCCAGAATATGACTTGCAGATAAGAAACAAATATGTATGTAAGGCTGCTCAGTTGTTGGAACAATAACAACTTTTACATTTTGGTACCTACTAAAAATAAAAGCACAGTGTCTAGTGACAGCAGTCAGATGGAACGGAGGGCACCGGGTCCAGCTGCGAAGAGGAATTCAAGAAAGAACTGACGGAGGAGGAAGGCAGAGGGGGCCTTGGAGCCGGCCACATGCTCATTCTGGGAGGCTGGAGCAGATGGCCATGAAACAGCAATCAGTGTCAACCAGAGAAGCTAATTTGTTCGCTTTTTCTCCCGAGTCCCATTTCCGTGTTTGTAGGTTAGATCTGGCTGTTAAGAAAGTATGTAAAAGACATAATGCCTGAGAGTCGGAAAAGAAACCAACCCTCTCTATTAATAGTTAACTCAAGTAACTCATTTAACTCCCCAGTAAGAAAACAATACAGCTGGGAGTATGTAAGCTGACCTACGCTATGCCAAAGTTTCTAATTTATTCCATCTATTTAGGAATGAAGCATGCATTATGTTCTAAAACCAGAGTAAAGATTATAAAGCACGATCTTTCACTTGTTTAGGCCAAAATCTATTCACCAAGAAAATCAAACATTTACTCTGACATTTTCTCAAAGCATTTTGAATAACACACTCCACTCCACACTGTTCAGTTAATACTGAACTGGGTGAACACATCCATCAAGAAGCTCTGAAACTAAGTGTGTTTAAAAGGTGAGATTTCTCAATCAAGCACTCAGAAAAAAAAAAATCAATGAAAACTCTGCTTTGAAAAAGGTCTCCCTTAAAGGAAATACAGGCCTTAAATAGCACACTCACGTTTTTCTGTCAAATGCCAGCTTCGACTGCCTCCCTTTGCAGATCAGCTTCCGTACCTGCCTCCTTCCGACCCTGCTGGTATGTCTGACCTCCAGCTCCCAGCCGAATTCTCCCAGCACATTTCATCATTTCCTGTTGGCTGCCGACTCCCTGCAGCGAGATGAGGCCAGTCCCCTACCCTGCTGCAGGCACCCTCCGGGCACCAGGTCCTCAGACCTCTGCTCCAGGCCAGCTAGGACCATCACAGAAGAGCTTTCTTTTCAGAAAGTGGCCAAACAGAAATCTCGGTATTCGAGAGAAAGAGAGAGGAGGTCGGAGAAGTCATATGACCCCCCCCCCCCAAAATCAACTTGTATATGAACTAGCTTACACTGCATATGACAGTCTTAGATCTCTCCTTGTATTTGATCCTTCCACTCAGGAGGGAAAAAAGACCTGCTCTGGAGCTAAGGTGCCAGGCATCACAGGAGTTAACGTGACAGGGACTTCCTTGCATGGGATGATCTTACATGGTCCCTACATATAAAACTCAACTTCCCTTTGTGACTCCACACAGCAAGGCAAAGCAGCTCAACAGTGGGAGACGCAGAGGAAGCGGATGCAGGCTCAGTGCCGGAGACCCCAGTCTCTCCGCAGCATAGGCTGCCTCCGAAGGCACTCAGATGTGCACCTGTGATTCCCCAGAAGTAAAAACCAGACCACAAAACACCTTTCTTCCTAGAGTTTTATAAAGAATTAAAAGTGAAGGGAGGGGCGCCTAGGTGGCTCAGTCGGTTAAGCGTCTGCCTTCGGCTCAGATCATGATCCCAAAGTTCTGGGATCGAGCCCCACATCGGGCTCCCTGCTCAGCAGGGAGCCTGCTTCTCCCTCTGCCTGCCACTCCCCCTGCTTGTGCTCGCTCCCTTTCTCTGGCAAATAAATAAATAAAATCTTTAAAAAGAAAAATGCAGCATCTCAGGTCACCGGTGACCTGCCTTTAAAAAAAAAAAAAAAAACAGTGAAGAGAAAAATAAGAATAAATATAGCTTTAGGGTAAGAGGAAGATGTCCTAACTCATTTTAGAATGTATGCGCCCATGAGAATACATACAATACAGGGGCGCCTGGGTGGCTCAGTCGTTAGGTGTCTGCCTTCGGCTCAGGTCGTGATCCCAGGGTCCTGGGATCGAGCCCCGCATCGGGCTCCCTGCTCGGCGGGAAGCCTGCTTCTCCCTCTGCCCCTCCCCCTGCTTGTGTTCCTGCTCTTGCTGTGTCTCTGTCAAATAAATAAAATCTTTAAAAAAAAAAAAAGTGCTTGAAAAACGTATGCAACAATATAAAAAAAATACAAACACTACAAGAAAGAGCAGGTATTGAAACTAATCTGTAAAAACACAAGAAACAAATATTTCAAGAGCTCAGTTTCCCCCAAAGTACCCTCCCAGAAGATACATGGGCACCCCCCACAACCCCTATGGCAAGCTAGATGCTACATTTAAGTGGTGGTGGCCAGAACAGAGCCGGACCATTCCCTCCCTTGGAACATGGGCCCCTAGTCTGACCTTATAACACAAAACAAAATAGGTTAAAAATATCTTTCCAAAATCTGTGTTTAGAAATTCCTTGATGGAAAAACACCAATAAAGCAAAGATCACATCAACACAAGGCTCAATTATTTGACATATGATAATAATTCATACTACTTGGAAAATCATTATACTACCCTCTCCCCCACCAAAAAAAACAAACGAAAAACAACAACAACACAGAAGTCAACCCAATACAACGCAAACTTCGCTGTATTCCACCATCAGCTTAGTTAGATCATTTGCACGCTTACAGAGAGGCACATGCTGGGGCACTAGGCCAGCCATGTTCTCTAGTCTGCAGGGAGGCCGGCTACTTCAACCCGGGGCTTACGGGGGGTTTAACGGCCCTAAAGGTCATCTTATCCAGGGACACTAAAGCTGGAAAAGGCTAAATAATGTTTCTAGAGACTACTTCAGTGTGCTTGACCACAACACACAGACTTTCTAAAACTAATGGCCTGGCAGTTATCTTCCAAAGCATTTTAACTAAATTTAAGCAGCACAAAAATATGGTCACAGAAGTCCTTTTCTGGGGGTATTTTCTTCCACTAAGAAAGAATAAACACCTGAGTTCTGGCAGACCAAGCTATCTACTTTTCCTTTTCATCAGCTAGCGTGACCAAGAACTCTTCTTTGCCTCAGAGCCCCACTTAGAGCTCTTGGTTATGAGAGAGGACGACAAGCACAGCAAGGTGGATTCATTTTTTTTTTTTTTTTAAGTAATCCAACAAACACAAGCTGCTCAGTAAACATTTATATAGTGCTTATTTTATGGTTAATGAAGAAAATAATCCTATCAGGGGACTGTCCCGTCTTCCATTTTCCAGCTCAAATAACTGAGGTACAGAGAGGTTATATTACCTGCCCTGCATCCCAAAGCTGGCACATGGGGGAGCCAGGATCCCAACCCAGGTAGTCAGCTTCCAGAATACAGTTGTTAGCCATTACACTGCCTCTCCTTCTTGGCTTCCCTCTATAAATCAGAAGCCGGTCTTGGATACAGCTGCTACGTAATAAAAATCTGATTTGAAGTGAATTAAGAATGCAGATAGCAGTGGCACTATGAAGTAATAAGCCCGGCTTTCCAGTGGCTGGGGCATTCTCTCCTGGTCCCCACAACCTCGGCCAGTGGGTTCCTAGCTGGAGACCAGCTGTCCTGACTCTCTGGAGGAGGACAAGGCTGGCTCTGGCAACTGTCCCACCCCCTAAGGTGGTACCGGGACAGAAACACTGCTCCAGGAAACCCACCTGCTACCTCTCGCACATGGTGCCTAAACTGGTGTTTCCAGTTCCAATCTGGTTTCTGTCATCAGACTTGAAACCTTTGGGCATTCATTCAACAAACATTAGTGCCAGGCACAGGGCTTAAGGCCACGGGGCCCCATGGTTGAAAAAGCCAACATCCCTGCCCTGGATTGCTCAGTGTATGGGCAGGGCAGATGTGTAAATAAATGAAAATGGCACGAGCTGATAACTGCTAGAACCAACATGCACCAAGGGCTGAGGGAACACTGGGAAGGGAGCAGTGAGCTAGGGTGGGAAGCAGGGTCAGGGAAGGCTTCATGAAGGAAGGGACAGGAGTGGGTTCTCTAAGAGCCTGCCATCAACCTACTCAAACCATGTAGATTAAGGTAGAAAAAAATTCTGAAACAAAATCCAGCAAGTTAGCTGAAGACTTCATGACCTCCGTCCTCAGCAGATGGCTGAGTCCACGCACAGCAGTCCTTTAACCTAGCATCAGGCACAGGCATGAGGGCAACACCGGACCGGCTTTCTCTTCTGATACCTCTATCCTGTTATAGGATGAAAATGGCTACCTTCACCGAGCTCTTTTAAAAGACTCCATAGGATAGGTACTACTAGCCCCGTTTTACGGAAGGAAAACCACCACAGAGAAATTAAGCAACCTGCCCAGTTATCACCCAGCAAATAATGGCAGAATGGGATTCGAACTCAGGTCTACCTGATACTTTCAAAGCCCATCCTCTCTCCGCCACACTCATGCCTGCCACGGAACTAGACCCATGAGGAACACAAGGATATCTGGCAACAGGTCATGTGACGTGGGGTAAAGGATAAAATTTTCACCATGTGATTTTTCCCCATTCCTCTACTGGTCTGTCCTTGCTTTAATGCCACACTTTTTCTAAAACAGCTTTATTGAGATGTAATTTACATACCATATAATTCAGCCATTTAAAGTACACAACTCAATGGTTTTTAGTATATTTACAAGCTGTGCAACCATCACCCCAATTTTAGGACATTGTCATCATCTCAAAAAGAAACCCCATGCACTTTGGCTGCCATCTCCTTCTCCCCCCTTCCCCAGCCCAAAACCACCAGTGACTCTTACAAGGTGATTCTTAAAGAGTAATGGGCACACAGTCATCAGGTTGTTAATAACACAGTGCAAATTGCAGTTCTGTGCCTCAGTCCTCCCTTCTGGGCTAAAGCTAACAGCTGAGCCCGGACAGGACCAGGGAAAAGCCAGACAACTTAGAGGCAGGCACTGGGGTGAGAGGTGGAGGTATCTGGCCGCCCCATGCTAGATGGGCTCCACGATTCTCATGTGCCTGAACTTAGCAGAGCCAGGTGGTCTAGCAGCTGCCAGGATGGTGGAAATCATGCAAAAGCTCTAGAAGAGCCCCTCTGGTCACAAGACCTTACACCATTAAGAATGCCCATCCCCTCATCTCCAGAAAGACAAACCAGGATGGTATCCGCTACCATAGGCTGGGGGTAACCAGAACAAGAGTTGTTCTGAGAAGCCAAACTCTTCAAGGATTGATTATCAGGACTAGTGATGGCCTGGAGGAAAAGGTGCCTCCTCTGCTCCACCTCCCAGCCTTCCTCAAGTGCTAAGGAGAGTTGGGGGAAAGGGATCTACATACAGACCATGCACATACTTCCACAGAGCATACAGGTCACGGAAACAGCTCTGTAAAGCATCGCCACGCAATACAAAACTCCTCAACACTGACGAGGAATGAGCTTCTGACAGATGCACACGGGTACATCACAGAAACCTCATGGTAAGCAAAAGAGGCCAGATGCAAATGGGTGCACACTGTGTGTTCTATTTACATGAAATTCTAAACCGGGCCAAACAAATCCATCATGACAGATCAATGTTTGCCTGTGGCCAGGGGCTGGGTGGGGGCTGACTGCACAGGGCACAAGGAAAAGTTCTGAAGTGATGGAAATGTTCTCTATCTTGCTTGGGACAGTGGCTACCCAGGCGTATCCATTTGTCAAAGCCCCTAAATGGGTCCATTCTGTTGTTATGTAAATTAATATCTCAATAAAGAGAAAAGGGAGAGGAGGGGAAGGGGGGGGATGAGGGAGAGAAGCCTGCTGCGGAGCCTGAACAACAGAGCCATCCGCTCTCTCCACCAAGGACTGGCCTGCAAGGTGCCGCCGAGCCCTGGGCCGTGCGCGCATTGCACTGGGCCTCAGTTCTTAGAAAAGCGGATCCTCTAACATACACAAATGATTCTGATGAAACTAAACGGTCCACTTTCTAACCAGGTTAACTCAGCTCTCCAATATCC